TGGGGGGGGGGGGGGGGGGGGGGGGTGGTATTTTATGTATATGGAATCCGGATCTTTTTTGTGTCTCTAGCTGTACTATTGCTATGAATGGCCGTATTTTGCATATTGAAGGCACCTTCACTCGGTCCAATCTAGATTGCCTAGTCTCTTTTGTATATGCTCCGAATGTTGGGAACCTGAAGAATGAGCTGTGGACTTATCTTGTTACATTCAGGGATAGTGTTAGCAAGCCATGGTGTCTTGCGGCTGATTTTAATGAAACTTTATTCCCATCAGATAGGAAAGGCAGCTCACAAATAACATCTTCCATGACAAGATTTAAAAATTGCATTGATGGTTGTAATCTTATGGAGCTCCCCTTAAATGGGAGAAAATTTACATGGTCTCGAGGTAATGCCGCAAGCCGCATTGATAGAATATTTTTATCAGGGGATTGGTTGCAGGCTTTTCCATCCTCTACTTTATTCGGTCTCTCAAATTATTCATCTGATCATAGGCTTGTGTCTAATTTTAGGAGTATGATTCAGAGCTTTTGGAGCTCAATTACAGTTTCAAAATCTGGCACAAGGAATATGGTCCCACCTCTAAAGATGTTGAAAGAGAGATGTCGGCAGTGGAGTCAAGCTACTGTGGGAAGCATGAATAACAGAATTGACGAACTGGAACTTGAAGCTAACTCAATGGATCATCAAAATGAGTGCAGGGTCTTGACTGCTGATGACCTGATTAGAAGTAATTCCATTGCCTCCCGACTCAAAATCCTGTATAGAGCTCAAGAGTCTGCCTGACATCAGAAGTCAAGAATTTAGTGGTGTAAGCTTGGAGATAAAAATACCCGATTCTTTCATTTAGCTGCAACAACAAGACAGAAAAAGAATCAGCTTGCATGCCTGGAGGTTGATGGACAGATCCTATCTAAACCAATCGATGTGAAGCTAGCTGTCTTTCACTTTTTCCGCAACCTATACTCCCACCAGAACAGTCCTAGAGCTTCATGTACAAATTTGGAATTCTCAAGGCTGAAGCCTTCATCCTCGGCTGCTCTTGAATTGCCATTTTCTGCAAAAGAGATTACAGCAGCTGTGTGGGATTGTGATGGAAATAAAGCTCCAAGTCCTGATGGTATTGACTTCCTTTTCATCAAGAAAGCATGGAACATTATAGGTGAGGATATTATCTAGATGGTTGATGAATTCTATCGGACTAATCTCCTTCCTGCAGGTATCAATAGCACCTTTGTTACTCTCATTCCGAAGATTAAAGGTGCTAACAAGCTATCAGATTTCAGACCTATTAGTTTGGTGGGCAGCCTATACAAGATCTTCTCAAAGATTTTAGCAACCAGGTTGAAACATGTTACGGCAGAGGTCATCTCTCATCAT